TACATTCTGGCAACATTTTGCTTGTTTTATTTTAAATTCCAATAGATAACTTTATTTTTCTGACAGCATTACTCCAGACCCCGGCTGGTTCCCTGGGTCCATCAGGTGGCTGGGGTATATCCCGCTGTTTGGGGTGGCACTTGGCAGGGGGGGCAGGATGGCTCCGAGAGGATCAGTCCTCAACCTGACCCACACATGCACACTTACTCCTGCCAGAGCCCTTCTCCCACTTTGCTCTCAGGTGTGCCCTGGGTCGTGGAGGATCCTGTCCTGTGGCTGGGTCCACCTTCACCTGCATCTGTGGGGCCTGGGGGACAAGGAGGGAGCAAGAGGGGAGAGATGAGTGAGGACAGGCCTCTTCCTGATTCCTGAAGGAGGATGGAGCTAGGGCAGGGGAGGGCTCAGCTCTTGCAGGGATTTGCAAAGAGGAGGACTGAGGGTATCCGTGGTGAAATACGGGATCCATTAGTGGCACTCCCCTTTGCATGAATGAGGTTATGGAGCACTGAGGTTTTGAGTGCCGTGAGTTTGTGTTCTCATTAAAGTCAGTGCTTGGTCATGGAGTAGCTGATTAACTCCTGATGGCCCTTTCTTAACTGCGGGGCTCATTTGCCTCTCATCTCACTTCTGAAGGGGGAGTAGCTGCTAAATGCTATGCTGTTGCAGCTGATGAATCTGGTAACTGGTTAGCTGTGCTAAATCAGCTGGTGACAGCGCTTGGAGGAGATGGCTGGTGTGTGAAGTGTCTCTGTGGCCTTGGATACTGCTGCAAAAAGTACTGGGAGTCACAAATCCAGTTGGCTTGTGGTTTGTTGTTGTTTTGGGTTTGGGGTTTTTTTGTTTGTAAAACCAAAATGATCACAAAGTACTTTATGTTTTTAATGATGTAGAGAAATAGGGACATTATTTGAGTATATTAATATATGTGACTCTATATATAAACGTATACTGTTACTTCTTTATTTGCAAAAAATATTGTAAATAAAATTGTAAATTTCATTTGGTTTGTTTCTTACATGGTTCCTGGCACTGAGGTGCCTGTAAGCCTTGCACTTCATGGTGGATTTATTCTTGTAATACCTGCACCAGATAGATAGTGAGGCACTATTTCCAGTGGAGAGCTATGACACAGGAAAATGAAGTGATGTGACCAAGATTGCACAGGAAATCTGTTGCAGAGCAGGGACTTGAAGCTTTCCTGTGTCATTTGAGTTACACACAAGCCTCTTGGTCTTCATTTCCAAGGCGTTTTATGGCTTATCCCCTCCTCATCTGTCATTTCCAATTCCCTTTGGAGAGGAAGTCTTCCACTTCCAGTCAGCCCATTACACCATCTCTTGGAAGAAGAAAGCATCTTTTTATGTTGCTGTGCTTCTGCTGCGTCTCACACAATAGAGCCTTAGTCCATGCTTGTCCACGAGAGCAATAAATTAAAAAAGCCAATTATTCAAAGTCTGATAGCCTTCTCTGTTTGATCATTTTTCATCTCATTAAGCTAATGAACTTGAGGTAGGAGATCTGAATAGGGTAGAAACCATTTAAGATGTGCTGTCTGTCTAGAAAGGCAAAATTTTATGGGAGTATTAAAAGTGGAAAAGTAATAGAGTGCGGGGCAGGAGGCAAGGATGTGGAGAGTTTTGAAGACGACCTAAAAATGAGAAGAAACCTAGAAAGAAGTTGGCTTAGGGAAGGCTGAGGGGAGAGAGGAGAAGTCTGAACTGAACTTGGAGGTCAGCATAAGGTCTGTCCAAAACTGGGGTGAGGCAAAAGGAGGGAAAGCTGAAGGAGGGGAGGGGAACAAACCTGTGGGGAAAGGGAGGAGAAGGACAGGGGCAATACTACACCAGAAATGGGCTGGCAATTCTTGCATTCAAAGCTACTGTTAGAATTGAGCTAGCAAAGGTGCGAAAACTCAGGGAGGCTTCATGGAGGAGCTTTAATCGGAGCTTTGTTCAAAGGAAGGGCTGCATTGCAGCTGGTGGCCTAAAGTAGCTGTATGTGAGGTGGGAGGGCTCCTGCTGTGCGGCACTGACGGCAGAGACTTGCTGTGGGTGAAGCAGCCCCGGGCTAGGCTTCCAGAGGTACCTGATCTCACTAATTGGAAGTTAGTTTTGGTACCATTTCAAATACTCCATTCTAGCTTGGGTGTTGCCCGCGCTGCACGCCGGAGTCTTTTCCCAAGTGAGCCAAGATAACACAGAGGGAAGGGTGAGAGAGGGAAGGAGTCTTTGGTCTGACGAATGATCGGCATGGGCCCTGGCACTGGAATCTGTCCGCGAGCTTAATTAGAAAGAGTCCCTGTCCTGAAAAGTCTGTGCTATAAATACAGAGCAGGAGAGATGGGGTGGGAGAGCGAGGAGCGGATTAATGCTGCAGTTTGCTGACACGGTATGCCTGGCAATGGCAGGAACAGAAGTCAGGTCTCCTGTGCCTCCCGCCGGCGCCCTGTCTCGTGAACCATGCCTCTTTTGCCTGGGTCGGGCTGACACGCACAAATTAAGATGCAAGGTGACTGTCTTGATTGAGAGTGTTCTCCCATGCAGGCTTTTTTCATTCTTCCCGAGGATTTATTTTCCCTTCCATTGCTTCATTTCCTCTCTGCAGTGTGTTGCTCGTTAGACTGAGATTAGGATTATTTGAATTTCACCTGTCAGTGTGTGACTCTCTGAAAGAAGTGTTTGTAAAAGCCATTTGAAAAATATACAGCTGGGAGAGCTAGAAATGGAAAGGACCTGTTAAATCATCCAGCACAATTACGGTTGTGGCCCACAAAGCAATTTTTCCCCTCTATTTCAGAGCAGTTTACAGCAACGCTGCATAACTTCTGTTTTCCTTGAGTACTTATGCTAGAGGCTGAGGCATCTATCGCAATTACTTTTTTTTTTTTTTTTAAACCAAACCTACTTTTTATTCCTTGGACTGCTTTGATCCTTTGTTTCGATTAACCGATTAATGATCCATAATGATACATGAAAAGAATGATGTACCCAATGCTGTGCTGTGCTTGCTGCTGGTAGCCGGGGGTGGTTGGGGAGCGGCCGCCCTGGGGAGCAGGCTGGCTCTCCACCACGCTCTGCTAGCAGCCCACCCCTGTCTTGAGGCACAAGGTTTGTATTTCCTGTAATTTACGGCGTATCAAGTGAAATTGTGGGTGGTGGCAGTATCACTGTCCCTATCTAATTCTTTCTGGAGCCTTGTCAAGTTCGTGGGCCAGATGATGATTATTCCCTTCAGATATGTACAGCTATTACTGTAATGGGCTTTTACTGAGCAAAGCCATGCTGTTAGTCTTTTCTTAGAAATTATTCTCTCCAGCCACTTGGCACAGAGAACAGTTTAAAAAACTTTCAAATAACACGTCTGCTGTCTCTTAGTTCAACAAGTCTAGCAATGTAATTGTTGAAATATCTCATTTGTGATTCCTAAAGACATACCTGATCTTTGTCATACCTGGTTCCTACATTTTACCTCTATGCTCTGCAGCTTTTTTTGCTCCTAACTGTTGCCCACTCCAGTGCCGGATTTCTCTCATAAAATTAGGTTGTAAACTTTATGGAACAAGAATTTTCTTGCATGTTTGCTTGACGGCAAACACAGTAAGACTGACTTGCCAGTGCTCCTATGCAATACAAAAGAGCAGTTCTTGTATTTTGAGAATGGTTCCCTTGAGGTAGATCTCTTTTTAGATTCTCCCCTTCTGTTTCTGAAGCAAACTGTTGGTTTTGCTGCTATCATTGGGCTTCCAACCTGTTTTATGTGGTTGTTACGGGACTCGTAAAGACTGGTTTAAAGCACATGGACACAAAATTTTGAAACTTGTCAGAAGGAATTCAATTTTTTGTTGGCTTAACCAAGGCTGCAAAGAATGTAAACTTAAAAAAATGATGGAGGAAAAAGTAGAAGCACCTTCTCCACATAATCAATGTGAGTGACATAAAAGGTAGTTATAGATCTTTTATAAATCTAGTAAGATAAGTGAATATATTACTAGACCTGAATAACAGGGCAGTTTGAGGACCAAAATGGTAGTTTTCTACTGAGTCTCTTTCAGGCTTGAAAGCAGTTGACAGTAAATGGTATGAATTGTATAGCAGCAATAAATCTCCAATATCAATATGGCTGAGGTCAGAGTTACATTTTGTATAAAATACTTGTTATTTCATGATCATGAGTCTTGATCTTAATATAAGACATACCCAGCAGCAGTTACTGCAGTGTAAAGGTAAATTGTTGTGACCTGTCTTTGTTGTTCTGGCTCAGGAGCTGACATTTCAGGAGGGAAAAATTACTGTACAGTGAGTTGAAGTTGTGCTTATTCAGATCCATTGATACAGTATTAATAATTGTTAAGTAAATGGGAGAAAAATATTGATTTATAGTGTGGATTTTTTAAATTATTAGTGGGATGTCTTTCTTCTTGTATTTTATGAAGCAAAGTCACCACAGTTGTCATTTGTTAACTTTCAGGTGTTCCTGGAAAAAAGTGCCTGCACTTCAGAGCTGAAGAAGGACATGAGGAGTAAAAGGACCTGGGATCTCACTGGTCATAATGAAACAGATGTTGAAGGATTTTTCAAATCTGTTGTTAGTAGTGCTCTGTGACTACGGTGAGTATTAGAGCTGTCAAGGGAAAACTGTGAGGTGTGTATTCACACGGTGGTTTTGGATGGTGCTGCTTCCAGGTGATCTGTTGAAATTGGATGCCACAGAAGCCACTGATATGCATAGGCTATAGTCTAAATCTTATGCAATATTTAGGTGGAAAATGCAATTTGTATAAACTGCCCCTGTAGATCAGAGTGGCAGCAACCTTTCCTTCTGTAAATTTGTTCAGAGAAATAAACAAGATAAATGAACAGATTTCCATGGGCATCATTGAGGACTGGCTGTGTTAGAAACAATAGCTGGAACTCTGCTCTCATGTAAGACTCATATTTTGTAATATTTAATGAACGTCATGGAAGATAGATCTGTTTTAGATATCCATACCAGGATGGGCGGAACTGTGCCATACAACTACCTGTTTCTCTGCATTAACTATAAAAGGAACCTACGGTCTTTGGCTGAGATGTAAGCATCTACAGTATGGGCAACCTCCTGTGATTGAGTGAGCCTCCCTCCGATGGACCTGAGCTGCCACTTAGAGAACTTTTGAGAAAAACAGAGGTGTTCTTTCTTCTGACTGTATAATAAGCCAAAGGATGGTATTCATACTCATTCAATTTTAGTCTTGTAAAATTAGGCAGCTAGTCAGAGGCAATCAGTCGCATTTGAGACACACAAATCAGCACATATTGAAAGCAGCTCCAACCCATCTGCAGTCTGAGATGTGTGGAATGACAAAGCACCTCCTTCTCACCATCAGCTGCCAAGGAGGGAGATTAGATGTCTCAGTTAAAGTTAGACAACTGTAAGATGTCTACAAGCTGAGGGGCATCCTACGCATGGTGTCTTATCTTTCTCCAAGAATGTACTAAGTAGGAAGTATTTGCAAAGGGAGTTAATTCCTTATTGCACATTTTACAATTTTGAAAATAAGACTTTTAGTTCCTAAATAATACATATGTTCTCAAAAATTACATTCCTAATTTAAAAGCAGGTGTTCTGACAGCTGCAAAACATTGTCAAACCATGCTGAAGGATTAAGCCATGCACTGCTGAAACGTCTATAGCATGGAAAAAATGGAAAAACGATTGATTAGTCCCTGCTTATGGAATGAGCTGTGGTAACAGGTAGTTCACACACCAAATGGCTGAAGATTTCTTACAAAGGAGAGAAATGGACCAAAAATGTATGCAGTTTGCTTTCCTTGTACAAGTGAGAAAAATCTGATTATAGTTAATGACTGAATACTAAGTATGCTCAGCTACTCATACCTCTGTGCTTGCTCCATCTCCACTCTAGAACAAGGGATCACTAGAAGGTGTAAAGAACCTAGAATTGCCATCTTTTAGATGAACTTCATTCCAGTAGAATTGGAGACACTTGGCTATGGCTTTTGGTACCATTTCTTCTTTCAATAAGACAAAGTTAACTAGCCAAGTTAGGAACACTGCACTGAGTGGGGAACACAGTGAAAGTAAGTATTGAATTCACTTAATCCAAGAAGTGAGGTGAATGATTGCAATATCCACTGGTTCTTGGTTAGCTAGTCCTGTCGGCATTCACAACTAGCTGACTCAGAGATAAAAGCTATTATTCCTGAACTTTATAGAGCGTGGCACTGTAATTAACGCAAGGTATAGTTAAAGAGCTAAATCTCTGCTGCAAACTTTAGGTGCATCATATTTTGCCTTATTTCCAGTTAAAGGGTAGTCCACAATTAGAAAATTACTTCCAAACAGTTCTGCGTATATGCATCTCTGAGTTTCACGTGTACATAGTTTTTAGATAACTATTATTTCACTCATACGCTTCTCTGTTTCAGATCAAGACTATTTTTTAAATGATCCAGTATGCTCTGGAAAATTCCTGTAATGCTAAAAAAAGCGCTAACATACAACAAAACAGTATTCTCGTTTCTTATCAGGTTTTCTGATGTGTTTGTTCTTCTTAGCTCTGTGCTACTGGTGGCTGACAAGCCAACAGCACAACCCAAGCTGGCTTAAACACAATTAAAAATAAATAAATATCAGTATAGCACCCTCAAATAATTCTTCTCGCTCTTCAGCAAAAACAAGGATTTTCCGTTTGATCTTTCTAAGCGTGAGTTCATGCAAAGTCTCCTCTGGCAGGTTGTTGGCGCCACAGCCAGGCTCCATTCAGTGGGAGACCATTGTAATGACAACCAAAAATATACAAATGCATTGAAAGCTGCCCCTGACTGGCTGTCCGAACAACTGGGACTAAGTTTTGGCATGTGACACAGTGGTGTGCACGCAGTGCTGAAGGAGCTTGCGGTGGAAGCTGGCTACTTCTGACTGGTGCCCTTTGGAACATCATGAAAAACTGCTGTGTGGGCTGTCCTAGAGTTGCAAAGTTCTCGTGTTATTAACCAAAGATGGGAGGAAAGGATGCTGTGAACTGGGGCACAGCAGAGCTCTGCAATGCTGTAACAGCATCCTCCAGTAATGTTCCCTTCTCTCACTTCCCAAGTGATCTGCATTAGGATTGATGGGAGCTGCATGGCTGTCCCCTGGCCTCTCACCAGCCCTCCCACACATATACACAGTGGTGTTAATTCTTGTCGTCTGAGCTGTTCCAAATAAAAAATAGTGCAAGAGAGTTGAGGCAGTCGTAAAAGGGAGCAAGGACAGTAGAGCAGTAGATACAAATATCGATGCTTTTCATTACTATCAAGTTAATGTTCTTGATGTAAGTTTAAAGCATGAAGTTGGAGTTTTCCATGCTGGGTTTTTGCCATGGTATGATCTTTTTTTTTCCCTTGCAATGTTTCAGCCAATTCCTTTGTAGAGAAATGCATAATTTTGCCCATGTTCAAAGAAGCAAAACCAAGCAACTCAGAACTATTTCACTGGGAAACTCTTAACACGGCTCTGGGAACCTCATGTTTGTTTGAGTGCTCATGGTGGCCTGGGACATGCTTTCTTCTGTGCCTATGAAGATTTGCTCAGACTTGGTCCAGATCTAAGTCCTCACAGCTAAGTTAGTGATGAAGTTCTCTGAAGGGTTGAACGTGCTCCAACTCCCACTGGCTCCTCTTGCCAGCCCCACACAATACTGTGTGTGCTCCAGCCCAGGGCAGCAGAGTTCCCCCACATTTGTAATATCTGGTACTAGAGTTGTTTGTTCTGTGCTCTCTGCTGTCATGCTAGCAGTGAGGAAGAAATGCTGGAGTTAATTGCTGGCCCAAGGAACAGGAGAAGGTAGAACATCTATAAGGCAAAGGGATGAGGACAGGAGTTTGGAGAATCGTGGCAACAGAGTTAGGACAGTACCCAAGAGATATTGGCAATAGGTAATGGTAGGAACAGGACTGGAAAATATGGGCAGGTACAAATGACAGAAGCAAAACATGAAGAGCAAGGAGAATGCATTGCTGGGCAATTTATAGAGAACCATTTTTCACAGGCATTCAGGGTCTGTTTCCTACTCCCTGAGTGTCAGAGTGGAGATCAGGTTTGCTGGGGTGCCATGCGCTCACCACAGCTGGGATCAGTGGGATCCTGCTTTGGATGTCTGAAGGACCATTGTATTTAAAATCAGGTGCTGGATGTCTTAGGACATACACAATTAGTTGATACTTGACAGTTTTCACCTTTGTGCCTGTGCCTTGATTCCTAACACACTGAACAAGAATAGTGACATCCTCTCATCTTTTGGGGATATTGGAAGGATAAACTCATTAATATTTCTAATGCACTAATATACTATGATGAGAGCACAACAGAAGAGTCTATGGGGGAAAATGAATAATTCCGTGTTATCAGGATGGATTTTGGATTGTATGTGCAGTCAATAATGCATGGGACCACCCATGGAAGAATAAGAACAAAAAAGCCCTCTGGTAACGAGCACCATCCATCTGCCAAATGAAGCAGTGTCTTGTGGAAATGCAAATTAAAGGCTGAGTTATAGTACATATATGTAAAAGTATATGCGTGATTTATATGTGTAAGGCCACCTTCATTTGGACTTTATGGATGTGGTTGGAGCTGGTTATTTTAAGCATGTGTTATAGCTCACCCTGATGTAAATGTCTATAGCTGGTCAGATGAATTTCTTCCTGAAAATTTTCCCTGCTGACAAGAAAGTGAATCCAAGGTGACTAACTCAAATTGAAGCTTAGAGCGGTAGGCGTCTAAAATTATGTGAGATGAGTCCTGCTACTCCTGACTACTGAGTGCTTGCCTTGGCAGTTGCAGTGTTTTCCCAGCAAAGCTTTCTTTGAGGTAGTCTTAAGACATGTGTAACAGATTTAACAAGTCAAAGTATTGTTAGTTGATACTACTTATGAAAGGATTGCTTTAACTGAAGTTTTACACTTCTGTAGCACCTTCCATCCAAGAGTCAGAAGCCTTTTCCCAGACAATTAATTAAATAAAGACGTCTCACAGCACATTGTATATCTGGAATTGATGTATGCAGATCCCATTTGTCAGATCACCTTTCTACGTCTGAAATCCTTAAGTTTCAAGCAATGCAGAAAAGCTAGCTGAGCTGAGAACAGAAATGTGATCTTCCCAATCCATTGCTTTAGATACCATCTATCCCCGCTAGTTACAGCACGTCTCAGGATAATTTGGCAACTTGCACAAACATGGTCATGCAAGAAGTGCATTTAAAAAGACTGCGCCATTTATAATGAAATGATGTCATTTAGACATGTTGCACCACATCTGAGACAAGAAAAATGCTGCAGTCACCATCACTGTTATTTTCAGCTCTTTCACTCAAGTGTCTCTGTGATGCAAATGAGCAAAATGAAAGATTCATAAGACAGAGCAAGAGAAGAGGCTTCAAAAAGCATCATGCAGACTTCCTATTTTATTTAATTTGAGGGACATTTTTCATGTTTCTGTATTAAGAAACTACTGTCCTTTTTCTGCTAAATTATAGCTGAAGTAAGTGGAACAACTGCTGGTCACTGTGAAGTGGACTTTAAGAATCTGTAAGTGAAAGAAGTTGAGAAGTTTGAGAATCTATCTTTATTTATTTATTAAAAAAAGTTTTCCCTGAATCTTTTGGGTTAGGTTTTTTGTGGGTTTTGTGTTTTGTGGGTTGTTTTTTTTTAAAAACTATTTTAACCTTCCTGAACGTGTTACTGCAGTGGACTTTGAGGTGGTCCAAACCACATCCCAACACAAATGAGAGGTGGTGACCTTTAATTGCTATAGCTAGGACCTTTTTTTTTTTTTCTTTCTTAGGTGAACTGATTAACTTTTAAAAAGTTTGAGAACCACTACTTAAATACCCACTTTATAAATCTTTGTTCTCTTTTATAAGGTAGATAAACAAACAGTTGTCTCCTTGGTTCTTAATACTGTTGTGAAACTGTTTTCCTTTCAGTTCTCGGTGAAGTGGAGTATCTCCTGTTGGAGCGCCCAGGTCATGTAGCCTTCAGCAATGACACAGTGTCTGTGGAATATCAGTACTATAGTGGTGGTAATGTGACAGCAGAGCATCTGTCCGTCCTGCTGCTGGATGCCAGCACCAATGAGATCATTGCAAGGAAACAGCTTCCAGCAAATCAGTCCCAAGGGATGGTAGAGTTTGAGTGTTTCCATTTCAAGAGTGCTGGGGACTTCTTGTTCAGAATGATCTCTCCCAGCGATAACGGCAGTGCTGCCCAGTGGAGCAGAAGAAGCATGTCCACCCTCCATGTGGAATGGCCTGTATTTCACATTGATTTGAACAAGAGTTCAGAGGTGCTTGGGAGCTCCCTTCAGGTTGGACTTTTTACAAATGAGCAGTTGTGTGCCATGAATGAGACAGTGATTTCACTGGATGTGATATTCACCAGCACCCTTTTTGAATTTGGAAGAGTAAGCTCAGATGAGACTCTGGGCATTAGAACTAGTAAAGGAATCCCCCTGTCAAGGTCCCAATGGATAGAGTTTGACTGTCCACCTATTGGTCAAGAAACATACATCACTGTGTTACTGAAATCGCTAGAAACACATTCCATCATTGCCTCCATAGGACCCATAGATCTCCTCCACAAATTTGGATACAGACTGGTTGTGGCACCAGAAGCAACGTGCAAAACTTTGATTCAGGTTTTCGTAGTCTCTCCACCGTGCACTTCTATCAGTGGAAAAATTGCCGTCTATAAAGAGGCTCTCAAGCATCCTAGTCAAAGAACAACTTGGCTGTATGAAAACACCCTTCACCCAGGAGACAACAGGACAGAATTTAACTGCACTTTGTTTGATGTGGGGAAGAACAAATACTGCTTTGACCTCTTTAATTTCTCAAACCGAAGCCATTTCCCAACAAGGGTTAAGGAGTGTATGATGATCCAAAGGAATATGGGTTTGTACTGATGTTTGTCCTCTTTTAGCCAAAATCAGCACTCTTCCCAGCCAACATGAGTAATGATAAATAGATTTGATTGTGGTGTCCGCTATTGAATAGCTACTTTTTGGGTCTCCTACACCGGACAAAATAGTTGTAATGTCATATGGAGATGGGAACGAGATGGAGTAGACTTATGTAGAAGCGTACACAAGGACATTTGATTGCAAATGCCACTGTGGTAGCTTAAAATTGCACTAAGTTAACACTAAGTACTAACCAAAACCATTTGGGGCATTCTGAATAATGTATCTATCTAGTCTGGGTAAAACTGAAACTTGGCCCTCTCAGTGAGATAAGAAGCTACTGCGTAGATCTGGCCCATTGGAGACAGTAAAGGTAGGATTAGTCTTACCTACGTATAAGTGTCTAAAAGCCAAGGTGCCAACATTAAGTAGCTGTCTAGCTGTTTAGTCAAGAGAGATAGGCATCTCGTGAGGGTGATTCACGGGTATAGAAGATACACAGGCTGAATTGTCACCTGGCCGTCTTTTTCTCTAGCCCATTTGGTGTAGGAGTTTAGAATCCTACCTGTTAGATACACAAATTTTGGTGAGATTAATCAGGCCATAGCAAAAGACACTGTCCTGTCACTTGGACAGCTTACGTGTTTTTCAAGCAGCCTTTCAAGACATGTCTCTGCTGCTTCTTAAAACAGACTACGGCACATTTTCTGACCCTTGAGGCCACCTGGCAGATCATGGGTCACATTTGTATTGCTAAACTTTTCCTCCTAGAAAAGATTAGAATCATGCAAACTGCCAGCTAGGGACAGTCTGTGGTCCATGTAGTCCTTTGGGCCATGACCAGCCATGGTCTGGGAGAGTGCTGGTTGGCAGAATCCAAAACCATGTCCAGGAGGAGTATGCATTATCATGGTTAAGGAGTGATCACAGTTAAGACAGAGCTTGTGCCCGTTCCTCAGCCTTGTTTAAGGAATATCTATACATTCTATTTATATCTATATATCTTACACAAATGTAGTTCAGAGGTGGCGGTCCATGGTTTGGCAGAGTCTACAAATCACAGTAGTGTGGCAGAGCAAGCAGATGAACTAAATGTCCTTCTTATCCCTCATTTGTGGAAGGCAACCACAGTGAGGGCTGGGCTATATGTGCACGAGGGGATTGGGGTTGGGTTGGGTTAGGTTGTGTTGCGTTGCCTACACTCTGGAATGGAAAAGTGAATGTTCTCATTTGGAGCAGGCTTGTGTCCATATGTAATGAATTAGTCTTTCACATGTAAACACTTCAAAGAGTTTGGGTTGAAACGTTTGAGATGTGCACCATTTTCTACATCTCCCCAGCCCTGGTCTCCCTGAAAAGGAAGTGCAGGAACTCGAGCCAAAAAAGGGTCATTGCACTTCATGGGCTGGTCTCTAAGCAGAGTCATCAGGAGACCAGGAGTGTAGGACATGCTCCATAGCACACAGTTCAGACACAGCCTACCTTACTTAGGTTCCCAGTGTCATGTGGTCTTTGTACTATTTCATAAATTCTAACACTGTTACCTCTGTAATTAACACTCTGTACTAAAAATGACCTCTGTTTTCACCATATGCTAAACTCGGTACATAGTTCTTCTCTTTATCTTAACTTCCCATCTGCGTTCTCTGTTGGCACTCTCTCTCTTCCTTTGGCATAAGAAAGTCTATTTAAAAATGAAAGCATATTATTTTCTTAATGGAGAATAATTCTCAGGGAAAAAGGAAGAGAGAATTCTAATTCTTTCTCTGTGCTTGGGTGGGATGTTACACTGATGCAATCTAGATAATTACCCTGACAGATGAATACCTAGGATATGACATAGATATGTTTCTGTGCCCAATATTTGACTGTTTTAATTGATGAGATCCACCTTAAGCAATTAATCCCTGCAATGGGCTTTGTTTCCTTGGGTTCCCCAATAGCACCATCCTTACAACTGCAGTCAAAAGAATCGGGCTATGCCTGTGAAGAACAGAGTTAAGTCAAGAGCTGCCAAGTTAGAAGTGTCAAATCTACAAAGCCGATGAAAGCAAAACCATGCCGCGTAGCCGTAAATAAAACGTCAACCTGAAATTAATTAGACTGCAGCACATCTGACTTTGTGCCTGTATCCGTGAGACTTCAAAGCCCGCAGGCAGCGTTGGAAAGGAGTGAGGTGTTCTGGGAGGGGCACATCACACTGAAGCCACGACAAGCAGAGTGAACCTGTGCTGCTTTCAATGGCCATCAACCTCCTGGCTGTTTTGGAAAGCTCTCTCCTGGGTTCCAGAGCATGTCTCACCCTGCTGCAGGGCACTGTGCATAGACCTGGATCCCTGATAGCTGTTCATGTAAAATGTGAGGCTGCTGCACAACAGGCACCTCTCCACAAGTCACTTATATTCTGCTTTGGACTCCCTGAACTCACTTTAAGGCAAGGAGAGGTGATAAATCCCCTAGTCTGGGCTCCTGGGCAGCATGGGCCATCACTTTTCATCCAGTTGCCTTATTGTTGAGTCCCACAACTAGTCTTTGCATTCATCTGCCACTTATCCTCCAGAGACTTATCCAGTGTTTTATTGAAGGCACCACAAAACAGAGACCCTTCTGGTAATTTCTGTCAATAGTCTGCTCTGATTTTTTTTTTTTTTTTTAAAAAAGGGAAGCTCTGTGTGTTTCATAACTAAAGCTCATCTAGCTTCATCCTCTAGTGACTGGCTCTTACTCTGCTGCTCTCTGCTAGAGGAGACAGCTGTTTCCTATCCACTTTATTCCCCCCGTGAAGGCATTTGCACATTCAGCTCGTCTCAGTCCTTCCAGATGATCTCAGTGTTCTTTGAAAAGATTAAGTCTTTAGTTAGAAGGTAATTTCTTCAGGATTTGATTAATTTTCTGGCTCTTTTTGGCTCCATTTCCATTTTTTTAAACAGTCCTTTTATTTGATGACAGGGTTACCAGCTTTGGGTGCTGTGTTCTGATGTCCTCCTCACTAATGCCCTTTGAGCAGCTACTTATTGCCCCTCTGCTTTAATTTCCACCAATTGCATTAGCTAATTTTGCCATAACTTTTACTCTGTAAACTCCTCTTGAGGTGTTTTTGCATATGACCTTTCCATATGTAATCTACCATCCTGCAGGTACAATTTGTATTCCTTCCTCCTACATTTTACGTTTTGCTGATTTACAATCTACTTTGCTTGAGTTATCCTAACTTAGCAAGTAACCTTCATTGCTCCATACAACCGTACTATCTACTTATGTCATCACAGGAGTGACATATTTTCTCATTAATGGTTTTGTATTTATTTCCATGTCAACTAGGCAAGCACTGTACAGCACTGAGCCGTATGCTAATCCGTTTGGAATCTCTCCAAATGCATTCCCACTTGGTGATGGTTTTCTGTTGACAATTGCACATCAAATCTGTCACTCAGTTCTTACTTCATTTAGCATGTGCTCTATTATTATGAAGCAGAGATATCATCTTGTAAAAGATCAAATCTCCTAAATCATTAAAATTATCTTCATCCAAACCACAGAAGATCAGATGAAAGATTATTTTCCCACACCTGTTTTCCATAGATCAGGCATCAGTTATATTCCTGACCCTTCGTCAATCCTGCTCTTTACTCCTCATCCCAGCCAGGTTTAGTCCAGCCTGTGGAACAGGAATCTGGCTTGTGTCTGGAGTAGGGAAGAGAAGGTTCCTGGTGGCCCTGAGTGGGCCGGGACAGCAGCTCTTCCAGCCCAGGCCATCAGACTTCAGAATGAGTGTCACAAAAAGGCTTATGCTATCGAAGACTGTGATATATCTATTAAAGGTGGGGAATACATCTATTAAATGTGACCCAGCACTTGTGCAGCTTTCTGTAGACTCCAGCTGGAGAACCTGTGAAAAAATAACGGTGAGATGTGAGTCACTTCGTTCATCTCAGTGGGGTTTTAACTGTTCCACGCTGGTGACTTAGAGAGAGTCATACAGCTAATTTTTTCCCTGTGTTTGATGGGATTATTTGAATGGCTGAGGTAGGAAACTCTGTTAGATCATCTTACCCAGCAACAGACGCATTGCAGGCTCATTCTTTTCAATGCTTTATGCTGTGCTTTGCTCATCTGGGATTAAAATGTCCCCCAGCAGTGAGACTTCTGCACTCCTTAGGAGGATGTTCCATGACCTAGCCTGTATCCCGCTTGAAACATTTGGATGAGACTGATAAAATTAATGAGTAATGCTACAGCATAGAAATGGGCATATTTTCTTCATATTTCCGGTGTTAATTAACTTTCTTTCACAGTTCTTAGTTAAACGCTCAGGAGACCAGTTTCAACTTTGGTATGACTCTCAAGTGAAGTCTCTTGCACTTGTCAACAGCAGAGATGAATTTTTTTCATCTGACTTTTGCTAACTGTCAAATAAAAAAGCTATCGGGAAGTCAGCAGGGCATAAGAAGTGCAGCTGTTGCCAGTGAAGGGAAGGAGGAAGGTAGGGGAAGACCTTCTGAAGGGAAAAGTCAGTAAGGGAGGAGAGGAGTAAGTGGAGTATTGAGGGGTCAAGCAGGGATATACAACTTCCATCAGATTTTTTCTCCCTGAATAAGACTGTATGAATCAGACCTGCCTATCTGTAGGAAAATCTGGAAACCAATTAGGTCTATTGCCTGAATCTGTGCCTGGCATGCATTTATTTAGAAACAGGCAGATGCAGGGGATCTGGGTACACCAGGGCTGCTTTGTGCCCCATGCGCTTCTCTTATGTCAGTGAATGCTTCATCTCCACACCCCCAGCATTTTAGGAATGAATCAGGTGTTAGGGACTCACTGGGATAACTCTTAGCTTCTGAAAAAAAATTTTTAGGTTGTGCCTCTGCAATTCTTAAAGATGCCTGTTTGTGGGGAAAAGACTGTAATTTGCCCAGGCAGAGTTTAGGTTTTCTTCCTTTAAAGGGATCCTCGTCCTTTCATTGTCCAAATTAGTAACGTGTTGGAGCATGCCACCATTTCAGTGCAGCCAGACTTCATTTCCATGGAAATAGAGAAATACGGAACAGGTGAGAAGGGTATTTTCCCAGTTCTTATCCAAACATCAATACAACTTACAACACCCAATCTCAGGACCTGAAAGCTGATCTCAACTTTCACAGATACTCTGCAATCCCTCAGGCTAGCCTAGGCATTTACATGAGCCTGTAAATAATGAGTGATTTTGTCCCATGTCACTGGGCTTGTTGAAGTGCTTAGGACTATCACGTGCATCAGGCTGGAAGGATGATGCTGAGCATCCCTCGCTGACTGTGCCATTGGATAGCATTATATGCTCAAAGTCTTATGAACACAGAAATTTGAGGGGAGATATTTATGCAGAGCAACAATTAACACAGTTAATTGCATTTATCTTTCATGTTGGCAGATCTGCCAACTGTCAGCTATTTCAAACTAACTCATCAGTTAGATGTCTTCACGTTGATAATTGATTCCTCAATTGTATGTGAAAAAATTCACACTTATTAGAGCTAGTTTGCAGTGCATACCTTCTGGTTTTTCCCCTGGCACTTTGGATCTGTTTGTCTTAAATGAAGGTTAATCATTTCATTTCCTTGAGGGAGAATAAACTATGCTTCATTTTCTTTCACATTCTGGTAGTTGCAGGAAGTTGCAGAGCAAGTTGCAAGAGTTTAAATCTCCCATCTTTCATGGGAGCTGGAGCATTTCCTGCTCTCCTGCTCCTTAAAGCACATACTTTTAGCCCCAAAGCTATGGATGCCAAGTGTTTTTCCTAGGGAGCTCTGTGCCCTCAGCTAAAGCCGAAGTCAGTGAAAAGTGCCCCGGAGCAACGGGCACATCATAGGTTTGACGTCAAAGTTAGAAAATTACTCATCCTAAGTGTTCTTGTACATGTAAGCCCACAGGCATCAATGTGAAGGCTGCCAAGCACCCTCCACTATCACCAGTGTTAGCACCGGAGGCAACCAGAACCTTTCTGGGTCTGGCTCTATATCTGACTAATTAACAGAAGTTTAAACAAGCAGGGAATGGGGAGAGAGGGGAATGAGCTAGCTCATGCACTGGAAGTTATGGCAGGGACTCACCAAGCTGCTCACATAGAGTAGTCTACAAGGAGGTAGGTGCTTCTCCAGCTAGCCTACCTCCCTCTGCCAATGATGAGGGACACTGCTGGAGCCTCTTGTGATACTCATATGAAGAAAAGTGTCATGAGATCCCCAAGTACTGTGACACCATGAAGTCTTTTGGAGGAGGGATCAGTGAGCCCTTGACTGACTATTGATTATGGCCATTTTTTCTTGCTGCCCTCACTAATAGCTCTGTTTGCTAGCTGGTCTCATTTTGCAACTATCCAGGTCTGTACCTTTCAGGGACTCTTTACCCCGACAAACTTCACCAGTTCCCCCCTCCTTGACATACTCTGACTCCCTTTCCTCCGGACACCACACACTATCCTATCTTGCTCCATTTCACACTTTGCTGGGGACTGGTGCGGCTGCAAACTGGAGGAGGAGTGCCTCTTCCAAGCTCAGCCTGCCTCTGAGCTCCTCTCCCCTGCTCTAGTAGCTCTCCAGCTCCAGAGACAGAGGGGTGAAAGCAGAGGGGTGCACAAAGTGAAAGACACCCTGAGATCATGGATATCCCAATATTGCGGTAGAGTCAGTGGCAAATAGCCGGGGAGGTCACTTGGTGCTGTGTGGGCTTAAAACCACAGCACACCGGGGTTTCTCACCATGCCCATCTCTACTCTACATTAGGCAAGGCAGACATACTCGAACATGCGTGCGCAAAGATGTGTGTGAGTATGTGCCCACACACGCTTTGCAGCCTTGGCTGGCAGCACACGTGTAAGCTCAAAACCTCCGGGCCTCATCCTGCAATGCAGGTGAGTACCTGCACACGGGAGAGCAGCCCCACTGGTTCTGTTATGCTGCTCACATTAATGTTTTTCATACTGGCATGCTCACAAAAAATTGTAGGACAGGGCCCAAAGCAGTTTATTAAAACACAGCTGAATTTATTTTTCTTTGAGACTTTTAACAATAATAACACACCATGAACAATACAGCAACCGATTAACCTGAAATCGTAAAACCATTTCCAGTTATGCATGCTGTCTAGTGCTTTAACATCATAAATTGTTTGCTGATCAGGAGCTCAGTGGCATGCTAGCAGCAAAGCAATGCTGTAAGAAAATTAAAGATTGTGACCTGTGTTGGCAGTAGCAACACCATAAATTATTTAAAAGAGCAAACTTTAGTAAATCTAATCTACATTTTGTGATTTAGTTGATTTTCCACTTTATCTGTGAGCAGTGAAATAGAGTAAGTGGTCTATTGTTTTTCTTTCTGGCACATTTCAAAGCCAGGTCACTGGGGAGGGTCCCCAGGGTATCTGTCCTTAAAGGCTGCACCTGGACTCGTGCATTGGTTTGGAATTTAAAATTGTGGCCCTGCTTCAGTGTCACCGCTGTCAGATACAGGCAGGAACAGTCCCTTTCTCTTTCTGGGTTCTTGCTGCTGTAAAGTTTGAGAGTTGAACACTGGATGAGGATGTTGTCTAAGCAAAAGAGGGATTTCATTACATATTAAAAAATTATAATATTTGAGGTAGCAATAGGACCTGAGCCTGCCTCCACTTAAAATAAATAAATGAACCTGCAAAATTTCATCTTGAGTTAATTGCCTAACCATAAGCAATAAAACAATAGGGACCTGTAAGCTGTCAAATGAATGATTCAATAGCATGTTTGTGTGCTGAGAAGATAATAAAGAGAAAAAACAATATTGCCGTTTCATTAGGCCTTGTAGGCTTATCCTCCTTTCACAGTCATATAAATCAGGAGTAACTGCACTTAAGTCAATGAAGTTATCCTGCTGTAAAAGCACTATCTGTCAGGCAGGAATTGGATTAATATATAAATTATGAAACCGTTCCAAAGATTTGTGGATTAATTTCCATTTGCTGTTGTTCCAGGCAGTTCCTGCCAGCCCCAGTTAACTGACCACTGTGTCGCTGACTGGCACTGGAGTGAAAAAAGGGGGAGAAAAAAGTGGGAGCATTGCCCCAGACTCCGATGGGAACAGGAGCAGGTCTCTGGATGCTGCTTGCTCTTTTGGTGTTGCCGTTTGCATTGTTTGGTTATTTATTGTTGGGTTTCTTAAATAAGAGAAGACAAATGACTATGTCTTTAAAGGTAAGGAGGCAGATGCGTTCCTCATTGCTGTGAGCCTGTGTATTTGCAGAAACGTGGAGCCCATGGCAGCCGTGGAGCCCTTGCAGCGTCACCTGTGGGGACGGCGTCCGGGAGCGCTTCCGAGAGTGCCTCACCTCCTCGCCGGCAAAACCAGGCTGCGCTGGATCACCAAGGGAGACTTCCTTGTGTTCGCTGGAGGAGTGTTTGTGTACGTAGTTCTGCCGTCCCCTTCCCTGTGGTCGCGTGTCTGCCCTGGCAAAAGCAAAGGGCCTGTTATTAGAAGGGCTTTGTAAAATGGCAGCATCCGATCTCTCTTTCAATAATACTGATTTTGGGGGGGTGTCACATTCCTGCAGTTGATAGAGTAGGGCAAGAGCCTACATGCGTTTGTGGGACAACTGGAGAGATAGGGCTCTAAGGCTTAAGATTTCTGCGTGCCCGGAGTGCCATGGAAGGAGTTTAAAATCTCCAGGATGGCTGGGGAGTGTGGAAGGGCTGGGGTAGAGATCTTGGGGCTAGCAGAACATGTTCAGTACTGAAGGCCAAAAACTCCAGGCAGTGAAAACCTGTGGAAAAGTGAAAACCTGTTAAAAGAAGACTGGTTCCAGCTGGGACTCGTGGTGTGGGATTTCACTCTGAGAGTTTTTTGAGGTGGCAGGTCCAGGTCTCCCCCCTGCTCCAGCCTACTGGCGGGTGGCAAGTGGGTGCAGATAGAGGAGACTTGAACCTCCTGTCAGATGAGAGGAGGTTACAGCCCCGATGAGGCTGTGCCGGCACCATAATCGGGTGCTTGCAGCCAGCTTGAGGGGCAGGAGAAGCGGTCCCTTTTAATGGGCTGATGGTGCTCAGTCCATGCAAAACTTTTGCTTCTTACAAACTCCCTGCTGAAAAGGACGGTGCTAATGCCAAGGGGCCCCAGAGGTCCATGTGCTCAGAAACTGGCTGATGTACAAACTCCAATGCCTTCGTGTCCCACAGGTGCCACAGAGGGCAGGGATGGGGAAGGAAAGGTACACAGGGACTGTGCAGGTTCCTAGGCTCTCACGCTGTAATTGAACAGATAATTTATTACAAAGTGAGCAATGCCTTACCCCTTGCTTTGGCTGCTTCCATCTTCCATGCACTTCCTTGTGCTGGCAGAAGTGGAGTGTGGAGAACTGGAATGGAGCCAGCTAAAAAATGGACAGTTGGGGGATGTGGAGAAGTTGTTTATCACACAGCCACTGCAATGCCTGCGCCACTGAAAAGGGAAGGGCAGCAGAGGGGGAGAACGTGTAGCTGGAGCAGGAAGAGGGCAGGACTCCTTTTTGATGGAGGTACTGGTTTGAACCAGCTTCAAGGTGTTTGTTCAATGAATGCCTCAGAAGTATACAGGCAGGACTGAAATGTATTGTGGACCACTGTAAGAAATGGGTTGGTGTTGAACAAAAGGTTGGGTGAAGGGAAAATCGTAAAAATTACATTCCATCAAGTCAGGTATTGCATTTTGTGAGTGTTTCTGCAGCACTTGGGATGTTTTAACAGTTTATTGTTAACGTGTCTGATGTTTTGTGTCTGATGTTTTTAATGACTGGAAAATGCTGGCCCTGTGGGTTTGCTTATTTCGTAAAGCTCTGAGTGTAAGCAGAGAAGAACAAGTCAGACGTTTAGGGGCCCAGCTTAAAGCCAATGCTCTGCTCTAGGGCTAGTTGTTGTCTCTATGCCAAACTCTCTCAGGCTGCTGCAGGTAGTGATGCCACCAGCAAAATGCAGTGGAGTAACTAGTGTTTTTCTAAAGCCGATGCTAGGCTGTGCTATTCCGTGCCTTCTGTTACCTGCTGGAGGGGTATTTCCATAAGCACAGTGTTTGCCTTGGCTCCTTGCCTGCCAGCTTCACCCTGCTCCTCTGGAGCTGAGGGAGCAGTCCCGGTGCACAGAGCTGCCCAGAGAGGGGTCTGCACGTGCAGAGCACGCGCTGGACACCTGATTTGGGTGTGCACTTTGCTTTACGCGCGCAAAAGCGACAGGCCTCTCTGGTGCTTCTTGAAAGTGTCCCTCTTTCCATACAGGTGTGCAATGGTATAAGGCATACGATGATTTCCACTGAGGTCAGCTGTCCTGTGAATGTGCAGTGCACATGGCTGTGGCAGTCTGGTTGGAATTACTGTCTGATGGTGCTCAGCAGGTCTGGAGAAGACTTAGATTCCAGTGAGGTCTCTGGGTTAATGAAGAGAGTTTATATATAGGAAACCCAGATGCACAGGAGGCCTACATCTGCACCTGTTGTGGGATCATCTGGAGGAATTACCTCGCTTCTCTCTTGCACATGGTTTCTAATCCTCCTGCTCCCACATCAGGCAGCTTCCTTTATTCAATCACCTACATGATTTCATCTCATTGAACCTTAAATTGCTCGAGAAGTGACTCAACAGTGTGATCTTACAGTGTTCATCTGCTGCCTGATTTCAGGCTGGGAGTGTCATCCTTCCCACCCCCCAACTATCCGTACCTTTCTGGAGCAGGAAAACTTTTTTTCAGCATAGCTATGTTTGCAGTCGTTAGTCCAGCAGATGGAGCAAATGGCTGAATAAACGAAACCAGCACACAGGCTAGGGGCAGAGGTAGATGAGATGGAGAGAAGCAAACCTAAGTAACTAAGTCCTGTTTTGAACTTCGCTGTTTGCTAGCTGTTTCTACTCCAAATGATACAACACAGTGAGCATTGCAGATAGAAAATGGAGTCTTTAGAAAATAACTATGAGACTAAGAGAAAGATGAGCAATGCTCTGCTGCAGCAGTACTGAACTGTGCAATTGCTGGTCCTGCCTTCTCCCCTGAGGTCCGCGTGTTCACTCACTGACTCAGGCCCCAGAACGACAATGCTCCGTGCTGCAAACATGGGGGCATTGGGCTGAATGCAACTCTTAGAGATTGTCTGTAAAAGATTCAGCAGGCAGTGCTCGTGTTCTTTATGCTGATGTCGAGCTCTCAGAGTGACATGGAGATCAAGGTTAATCCCATGGCAGGATTTTTTTCAAAGGTCTTGGGGCTGTTGGGTAGCCTCAAGTAAAAGAAATGGGTGTCCTGCCCACCCAGCACCCTGCATGTCTGTTATTGTAGCAGCCTCAACCTTCTGGTCTGTGTCCATCAGTGCATCCTGCACACCTAATAGCTGTGCTACCAGCTTGCTATTGAATGAGTGTTTTTCTGGATTACAAGAAGTACATGGTGTCTGCTTCTCATTATTCTGCAGACACATTTCCTATGGCTGGATAGTCACTGTGACGCACCTGGCAAGTTTTACAGCAAAGTGTCTATCACTCTGATGGAAGGCTTTGTGTTCTGCATAAAACTAGATGCTGGGGCAGGGTTATTAAGTGGTTCGGTATGAGCTCACAGCTTCATGGCCAGCTCTTGTCAACTACAACTGAGTAGTCTTGTCCTCCAACAGCATTTTCATGGCCTTATGGAGCTGATATTTGGCGACAAGAAATTGGGGAGTGCTACACCCACTCAAATTTGCTGCTGGACCAATTCGTCCCCTTTCAACAGTGCTGTATTCTGCTCAGGGCTGCCCCTGAAATGCTAGAGACCTCATCCAAAAAAAGAACTATTAATCTCTTGTTGGTTCAGCTATCTGTAATGTGGTGCAGTGGGCAGGTGAGAGGTTAAAAAAGGGCTGTTGAAAGCTCTGAGATGTTCATATTACAGGTTAGGATCATAGAATATCTCAAGTTGGATGGGACCCATAGGGATCATCGAGTCCAACTCCCTGCTCCTCACAGGACTACCTGAAACTAAGCCATATGATTAAGAGCATTGTCCAGACACTCCTTGAACTCTGACAGGCTTGGTGCCGTGACCACTTCCCTGATGAGCCTGTTCCAGTGACCGACCACCCTCTCAGTGAAGAAAAGTTTGGAGAGTAGTATTCTCTCTTTGAAGGCCCATCTCCATGACAGAAGAGTGTCAGTACTAGAATGCCAGGGGCACCAGAGCAATGGCCTTCTCAGCTGGGAGCTTGCTGTGCAGGGGGAGGGTTTTGTCCTCTGGGGCTGTGACACCAGGCAGCGGTGGAAGAAGCACCCTCAAAGGACTGCTTGGAAAAGTTACACTGCTCCTGCTAGTGCTGCCTCTCTGCTCTTCAAACTCACTGCAATTCTCACACCCACTTAAGGTATCCTAAAAATAATTTTAAAGTGGCACCTGAAGTACTAGCCTGGGATGGGTTATTTTTACCCCTTTTATGGCACTTTTCACCAGGGGATCTTAACATAACTTCATAAAGGAGGGCAAATATTGTTATCCTGTATTACATGTATTTAGGAGTGCCTTACAGAAATGGCAGAACAGGCAAAAGTTAGGATTACATTTAAAAGGTCCATGGAAGCCTTCATTTAAAGAAAGTAGATCTATTCCTCCCAGTTGGTAGTCAACAGTAGCAAGTCATCTACAATGAGCAAATTTTAACGGTTGACAACTTCCTGTATTGTATTAATTGGTTATTTTTTTCTTTGTAGTAAAGTATCCACCCTAAAATACCAAAATGCTGATGACAGTGCAACTCTGACAGACTTGTGTGCTCTTTGTTACAGCTATCAAGCCTTCCACCCCACCTTCTGTCCAGCCAGGAGAGGACCAGAAAGCAAACAACATAGTTACCATCACAGGTATCTCCTTATGCCTGTTCATCATCTTTGCCACCGTTCTCATCACTCTCTGGAGGAAGCTCTGCAGAGCTCAGAAGTGCAGCACTGCCGTCCACCGAAACTCTGTCCATTCCCCTGGCTTCCGTAAAAACTCCGATGAAGAGAACATTTGCCAAGGCAACAAGCAGCGGGACAGCTTCGCTGAAGTAGGGGATGCCCCTGTTAACATTCCTCTGACCTACAGGCGGAGCCTCCAGTTTGCCCAAGAAGATGAGGCCTCTGGAAGTGAGAACTTTCAGCCAAATGCCCAAAAAATAATCCCTCCGATTTTCAGCTACCGCCTCGCACAGCAGCAGCTGAAAGAGATGAAGAAGAAAGGCCTGACTGAGACCACCAAGGTGTACCACGTCTCTCAGAATCCCCTCACGGACACAGTTGTTGGTGCCACCACAATGCTTCCCCTGAGTGGGGAAAACCAAGAGGAGGCAGTGGCCAACAAATTTAGGATCAAATCTCCGTTTCTGGACCAGCCAGCCAGCCAGCCCAGATTCCCAGGGGAAAGCTCTCACCCTAGGCTGGATTTTCCATTCTCACAGGCCAATCCAGCAATGAGCCCTACCCAAACCTTGGTAAGAAGACCTCATTTCAAGCACCAGGATAACAGAGGAGACTTGCCCGAGAGGGGCTGTCACAGAAACCCACACTTTAGAAGAACAGCCAGTTTCCATGAAACTAAAAAGGCCAGGCCTTTCAGAGAGAGAAGCATGTCCACCCTCACCCCCCGACAGACTCCTCTCTACAACTCCAAGACCAGACCATGGGACCAGGGTTTGGAGGACAGGACACGGCCAAAATCGAGAAACGCTAATCCAACTTGTGAAAAGCTGGACCAGCCCCACAGCGCTGTGCTGGGGTGTGAACCACAGGGCCATGGTGCCAAGGGCCACCACAGGGCAGGTCCTCCGGTGAAGAAGCTGGACCCGATCACTGACCGTCAGCCTGCTGGTCAGGAGAAGGCAGCTGATAAACCTGAGCCCAACCGAAATAAGAGGGGCCCTTCACCTAACCCCAGAGGTGCATGGCGGAAGGAAACGGGCTCGGCTGGCAAAGATAATTCCCAAAGAGGTCTAAGTGTAAGCCCTGCGCAGTACCGAAAGGACAAGTGCCAGAGCTTCCCCTTGGACCCGGAGTTTGCCTTTTATGATAATACTACTTTTGGCTTAACGGAGGCAGAGCAGCAGATGATCGACCTCCCTGGGTATTTTGGCTCAAATGAAGAGGATGAAACAAGTACTTTAAGCATTGAGAAGCTGGTGATCTGAGTGACTCATTGCAGCCCTGCAGGAGGGGCGTGCACGGGAGAGGATCCGCAGGATCTGTTGGCTTCTGGTGGAAGGAGAAGCAGGAATCACGTTCCCCTCCGCACGGAGCAGGAGGGAATAATGGCCCAAGTCTGACTTGTGGGAACACATTCCTTTCTGATTACTGGAAAGTGCTTCCATATAATTAATTTTGGTATGTATGTGTGTAAAATACACACAAAATACCCTGGGAAAGCATGTGTTAGTGAAGGCGTGATGCAGGAGTAGTCAGTAGATTTTATTGCATAAAGAGTCACGTTTCATGCATCGTACATAATGAATGCCACTGATCTAGTCTTTCTCACCTTGTGGACCGTGTACTAGTAGATTATGGTGTCCTAAAGCATCCATTGTCCACTGTCCTCAATCATCTGTCCTAATTAGTCAATCATTTCCCATTTAGAAAACACAAACCTCAAGTTGTGAGCAGTTTTTATCGGTTTTTTGGTAGTTGTTACTGACCTGTGTTAAATCATCGTAATTGCTCAAAGAAGTCATATGGTGGTGTTTCTTTTAGCTGGTTGCACGAAAGTGCAAACAACTGATGCTGAATACTTGGAGTGAATCTAAAATTGAGGGGGCATTTTTCATCATTCCAGACTTTGATATTTTCTTTGTGCCAATATTTATACCAAGAAAACAGAGTAACTTACAAATATTTGCATTTACAAAATGAGTAGAAAAGGTCCTGCTACTGGGAGGGCAAAGAAAATTGATGATCCAATTTTAGCCCTCAGAAGTGTTACTGGAGAGCAAAGTACCTGTAAAAGGCAGTGAGAGAACTATTGAATCACCCATCTTTTCTATAATCATCTTTGCCTTTATTAAACTTGTGTGTGTGTGTGTAATTGGCAATAATGCTACTACAGCAAGTTCAAAATAAATTATGAACCAAACCAGCGAACAACACATTTATTTGATGAATACCTGTTTTGCAGACAAAAAGAAAAAGTAAAATGGCTTGACAACATCTGGTGATTCCTGGAGAATTTATGGCGAAGTACAAAAGTTACGTTGTGGGTTTTGCCATGCTTTAAAACCGGAGATCACAACCTGGCCATTACACCCTGCTGCAAGTATTCAGGGCTGGGTTGAAACCCCAGTTAACAACAGAGACAGAGCTCTGGCCAGCGAGAATGACTCAGAGACTTCGCTTGCCATTTGTTAGGATAACCATCCCTTCAGGGAGTTTGCAGAGACCAGGGGAGTGCTGTTGGGCAGCGACAAGAAAAGAGGAAATGCTGCCCGTGGAGGATGGAGTGAGAGAAGGTAGGTTCAGGCAGAGGACTGTCAGCCTTAAAACAGCTCTCCCATAAGGAGTCCAACCCTGTGGGCCCTTTAACCTGCCATCTGGGTGTGAAGGAAAAATAAGGATGTGCTCAGTTCTCTGGCAGGAGGCTGCTGTCTTTCTCAAAACTGGCTTTCTGAGTGGAAAGAGATTTCCCAATCCCACGCTTTTTTTTTTTTCTCCAAACCAACAACAATTTTAAAGGGAGAGCAGCATTGCTGTGTGTTAGGCAGTTACCAGTGGCACCCCACTGAAGTGTCCAAAGCGTGCACAGGTAACTTGATGGGCGCATGGCGGGAGGGCTTGCTGTGACAGCCTAGGAGCAGCAAGACTCTCAGCATTTGGCCGCCAGAGTCAAACCCCACCGTTTGAACGGCCTTTTTGATGGGTAACGTTTCGCAGCGGCTGCTGGAGCGCCGGCTGTGACTCGCAGGGTGATGTGAGCTCCCTCTTTCCCCAGACCTGCACCAGCGTGCTGCATTGTCAATGTTCAGCCCTTTGGCCCAGCGCGGTGTTCGTACCAGCTACATGTTCCCATAAACTGTCAGCTTGAAATGCTGTTTAAAGCATTTGAGAACATGTCCACACTTGAGCAGTGATCCAAAGCTAATCAAATGTAATGAGTCTTTAAATCAGACCTCTGAAGCAATGGCTGCTTAGGTTACTTACCACCCCTGCATTAAGGTAAACTCCGCCGTGTGAAGCACGTTTGCCCTGGAGCAGTGATTTGTCGGCGTTGGAGCTGCAGTGCCACAGTATCTATGTACAGCTTTGGTGAGCCTCGCAGCATGGGAGACCCTGGAGAAACGGGAGATCAAATGTAGAGCACAGCAGCATTCAGCCAGCATTCCCCTAACCTTCTGCGGGAGTGATTCAAGCTTGGCGGTAGCCCTTAGATCGAATAAGTACTCGGCTAGTGGCATTTTACCGTGGTTTTTAAGATAAAGAGGGTTCTGAAACACTTCCTGGGGTTTGCTGTGGGAGTTGAGGGTCCTGCACAAAGCCCTGTGACCCCTGCATCTCCGAGGGGGTTCTCTGTGCTGCAGGAGGGCAGAGGAGGGGGAGCCTTGCTCTAAGCCAGATGCTACTGCCTGCAACCTTGCCTCAATGTTGGGCTGCGTTCAGAACAGCTACTGTAATGCATTAGATGCACTTAGGTACATCTTGCATCTAGGACAGCAAGACAGATCCCTTCCCTCCCAGCTTGTCAGATCTTGGCCCCTTTGTCTCTCTCAGACAAAAAGGCACCATAACATCTTGATGCTGGCTGAAGGCAGTCCAACTATAATGCCTGCCTCTCCATATGGACACAGGGCAAAACAGGCGCTGTACTCTGGACTTTTACATCGCTCACTGGGGAACTGGACTGGGTAGCACTTGTCTGACTATCGCCCACTTGATGCTCCATTTTCAGATAGGTTATGGGCTGCTCAATGAACTGTCAAACCACTGGTGTTGCCCATTTGGTGCTGTAGTTGATTTCCAGCATGCAGCATTGAGCATCACCAGTCTGTAATCTTTACCCTGCTTCCCTAGCCCTCTACTGAAGAACGGGGTTGAGCATCATCTGCCAGAAGGCATTAACAAGACCTTATTTCACTCACATTTCTCTGTGTCTTCTGTCTAGACAAAAATTGTCCTTGCTGCCCTCAGCACTGCATCAGTGGCCACATAGTTCTAACGTGCACAGCAATTCCTCACGTTCATGACATGCCGTTAAAACCTCGCACTAAGATTTTACCATTGTAAAATACAGCAGCAGTGATCAGAAAGGAAATAGTAAGTGCTGGTTGTTCACACCTGCAGCTTTCTTCACAAGGGCAACCTCATTTCGGAGATGTAGGTGCAAGGTTTGTTCCGCATGGGTACCTGCCCACGCTTGGGAAGAGGGCAGCGGCGCAGTTTTGCCAGGGCACAGGCTTTAGGAGCACGGCTTCCTGGAGTGCTGGCCCGCTGCGCTCCGGTGTTCACGTCTGTGCTCACTGGGATGTCCAGGAAGAAGTGAGAACAGGGTTTACCTCTTGACAAAGCAAAGGAACTAAACCAAATTTTTTTTACACTGAATGTTTGCGTGTCTCTGCATTGTCTTCAGGACGGCTTGAGCCATGGAAATTAAACTTACCTTGCAGACCCTCTAAACTACCCAGGACTGCAGGTGCAAAAGCACCAGAGCCAACACCAAAATAATTAAATTCTCGTATTATGAGCTTTCTCAAGATTTTCATCCATATTTCTGTTCAAGTTCCTACTGTTGAAAACCAGACACAAAGCATTAAGTCCTACTCAGATGGTTTTATTTCACTCTTTATGGATACATAAAGCAAATTACAATATGTATGGATCTAAAAGCAAATAAATGGAAAAGAACTACCATTTTTAAAAATTACTGTAATTCAGAAATAAAATAGTCTCATTCTACAACATGGTAGTTAAGTGATTTGCATCAAGCTCATATTACTGTTCATTTTTAACAACTTGTGGAAAATAAATTTTCAGTATTCCATTTCTTTCAGTCATTTGTGTTGCTCTCGTTTCACTCCAGTGAGACAATGAAAGCAGTGTGCCTCATGGTTCAATCACTTTCCACTTTCTGATTGCCCTTCCCTCACCTAAAGTCATCTGGTAGATTACACAAGACTGTACAAATGAATCATGACTGCATTTTATGAACTCCTAAGAATATCTGTGCTCATCTTAAATTTAGTAAAATCTGCCTATTTTTAATCTGGGGCTTAAGTCTGGTGGGCAGTGTTGTCTGCATTAATGTGTTGCAATGTGCAGTAGAAGTGGATCTGCAGCAGGAAGCTGTTGGCAATGAAACCCAGTGTCCGTGCTGTCCATGTTGAGGGGGTTTACTTTGAGCCGCCTTGGTCTGGATGCACATTAGCAGTTGGAGCACGTCCATCCACTGGTTTGGTTTCACACACTCAGGAGCACTCTGCAACTGAAGCGTGGCAATAGGGGACCAGAGGGAGAGTTGCTTAAAAACATTCTCCTGATCCAGAACAAAGCACTAACAAAGGCACACCAGATGAAGTCCAATTCCCCATCACCTTGTTGTTTCTGTTCTTATGTTCTCCTACCTGAACCACTGATGTTTAAAATCAAGATGAGAAAAATTTAGCCTGTGAAGAGTACAGATAGATAAAAGAACATGCTTGATCATTGTCATGAGCAAGTTTGCAGATGACACCAAATTGGGAGGAGCTGTTGATTCCGTTGAGGGTGGAGAGGCCTTGCAGAGAGATCTGGACAGATTGGCGAACTGGGCAATCACCAACCGCATGAGGTTTAACAAGGGCAAGTGCCGGATTCTGCACCTGGGAAGGGGCAACCCTGGCTGTACATACAGACTGGGCGATGAGACGCTGGAGACCAGCCTTGCTGCAAAGGACTTGGGGGTCTTGGTCGACAGGTGCCCCCGGGCGCCCAGGAGGGCCAGTGGTATCCTGGGGTGCATTGAGCATGGCATTGCTAGCCAGTCTAGGGAAGGGATTGTCCCACTCTACACTACGCTGGTGTGGCCTCACCTCAAGTACTGCATGCAGTTTTGGGCGCCACAGTACAAAAAGGACATAAAACTATTGGAGAGTGTCCAAAGGAGGGCAACAAAGACGGTGAAGGGTCTAGAGGGGACGACTTACGAGGAGAGGCTGAAGTCCCTTGGTTTGTT